GCGATTCGCTCTTATATCACTGTAGGAGCTGAGGACGTGTAGCCCAGAGTACTACCGTTGGACGCAATACTTGTTCCTAAAGTTGCACGAAGCTGGGTTGGCGTATCAGAAAGAGGCTGTCGTCAATTGGGATCCGATTGATGAAACTGTGCTCGCAAACGAACAGGTAGATGGTCATTGGTCTTAAAATGCTGACCTGAAGGATGTGCTCTGTATTGCTGTTTGCCTCTCCCTTCTTATTCTAATAGCATACATATTGTTCCTCTAGGTTGATGCGAAGGGCAAGTCATGGAGATCAGGAGCGGTAGTGGAAAAGCGCAAGCTGCGTCAATGGTTCTTCAAGGTCACAGAATATGCAGAAGACTTGCTTCAGGACCTGGACCGACTTGATCAGTGGCCCGACAGGGTCAAGCAGATGCAGAAGAACTGGATTGGCAAGTCTCGTGGCGCAGAGTTTGATTTTACGGTTCTTGCAGGATCTGCTGTGGCAGATAACGGGTCTCCTGCTGATGCAGCGATTCAGGTCTTTACTTCTCGTCCTGATACCATTTATGGAGTACAGTTTTTGGCTGTTTCAGCAGAACACCCTATTCTTGACAGTGTACCTGAGACCCACCGACAGAAGCTAAACGAGTTTAAAGAGTCGTTGAAGAAGGTAGTTTCCGCAGATCAAGAGGCTGAACCTAAAGGGGTACCCACTGGGTTGTTTGCAAAGCACCCCTTCTTGTCCGATGCAAAGATCCCTGTCTACGCGGTCAACTATGTAGTCTCGGACTATGGTACAGGCGCCGTGATGGGAGTTCCTGGACATGACGAGCGCGACTACACCTTTGCAACGAGTCAGGGCATGGATATCAAGTATATTGTGGCCCCTGCAGCAGGGGCAGATGTCCAACACAGCTCTGGCACAACGACTGGTGCTATGACTGCGCGGGGGGTGCTGACGGGTGACAACGGCGAGTTCTCACACATGACCAGCGAGGCAGCTGCAGAAGCTATCATCAACAAGGCTAGCCAACTTGGGTTCGGGCGGGAAAAGATCAGCTTCCGCATTCGGGACTGGCTGCTGTCGCGTCAGAGATATTGGGGTGCACCTATCCCTATGATCCACTGTTGTGGCTGCGGACCTGTCCCAGTGCCAACTGAGGATTTGCCTGTTGTGCTGCCAATGGACGTCTCATTCTCCGGCCGTGGCGGCAGTCCTCTGAAGCAGATCGAGAGCTGGGTCAACTGTTCATGTCCAAAGTAAGAACGTCATCGGTTTAAGGACTTGACCTTATGCAAGGCTACTGGATACTGACGAACACGTATCTTTAATTCATATCGTGCTACTTGTAGATGTGGGAAAGCGGCACAGAGAGATACAGATACCATGGACACATTCGTGGACTCATCCTGGTACTTCCTTCGGTATCTAGACCCACACAACACGCATCAGCCTTTCTCACATGCCAAGGCTACTGCTGGCATGCCTGTTGATGTCTATATTGGCGGAGTAGAGCATGCAATCTTACACTTGCTCTATTCTCGCTTCTTGTCCAAATTCGCATGGAAGACTGGCCTTTATGGCAAGGAGCCCGATGTTGAGGCAAAGGAAGGCAAGACGCCTGGAAATGGTGAACCTTTCAAGGTGCTGATTACTCAGGGAATGGTTCAAGGCAGGACATTTAAAGATCCTGTGACAGGCGCATTCCTGAAGCCTTCAGAGGTTGACCTCACAAATCCTTTGCACCCGATACAAATTTCGACGGGATTGGCACCAGCACAGAGTTGGGAAAAAATGAGCAAGAGTAAGTTCAATGGCGTGGATCCAGAGGATATGATCAAATCGCATGGTGCAGACGCGACGAGACTGCACGTGTTGTACAAAGCGCCTCCGTCTGAGGAACTCGAATGGGATGAGCAAAGCATTGTGGGCATGCAGAGGTTTCTGAGCAAAGTGTGGAAGATTGTTACCCAGATTCCAGCATCAGAAAGCACGGGGACAGTGAACGAGCCTAGAGTGGAAGGGATGAGCAAGAACGATCGTGAGCTGTGGCGTCTTGTCAATTATACCGTGAAGGAGGTACATCGCGCATCTGTCATGTTTTCTTGGTTCTTCAGTCCTACACCATGTCTATCCTAACACCATGTCTATCCTAACACCATATATCTGTCTATGTCTCTGTCGTAGCTCACGGTCTCGTTCCAGAGTACCTACGCATTCAACACCTCTATCGCGTTTCTGATCAAGTTGACCAACCATTTGTCGACTGTCACTCCCACTTCTTCAAGTTCAAACTCAAATCAACAACAGGAGCAACAACATCCATCACAAAATAAGCACAAGAATAAGAAGACCCAAGTAGAAGTGTCGCGCGATCTGTACGAATACTCTGTCCAAGCTTTGGTCAAGATGCTATCGCCTCTAGCTCCTGCATTCGGTGAAGAGTGCTGGGAGACTTTGACATCACCCACTACTCTGTCCGCCGCATCACCTTCAATACCCGCAACATCAGCTGCACCAATCTTAGCATCATCGTCACCATCGCCAACAGCCGCGAAAGCGTCCGTGTTCGCGCAAGAATGGCCCTCATTCCAGGAAGCGGCATTGAAGGAGGATTCGATGGTGTGTGCAGTTCAGATCAACGGCAAATCGCGATTTAGTATCGAGTTTGACATATCTCATTTGCCAGACGAGAATGATAAGGCAGGACAGAAACAGTTCTTGACGGATTTGATTTACAGTCATGAACGGGCCAACAAATGGTTGAAGGATGAACAGGGACAGATCCGTCCAGTCAAAAAGATGATTATTGCCAAGGGTGGAAAGCTGGCGAGTTTTGTTCTATAGGAAGATGCATCGAACACCACACATAAAAAAAAAAAAAAACATGGAATTCTAACGAAACCCATCGCCTCGCAGGCAAATGTTGAATGGAAGAGATATTTGAGCGGGAAGCCTGCCACTTGTATGGCACTTGATTCAGCTCTCGCTAGACATCCATGAAAAAAAAAGTCTTAGGTCGTCATGATCTTTGATGGGCGTGTAGCACACCACGCATACGTTGACTGATCCGATTCTCGTCCAAGCCGAAACGACCGAGACATAAAAAAAAAATTGCATCGTGAAGGATCCCTATATGTTCGTTGCCGAACAAAGAACGCCATTGCTGCCAATGCGCATAGGCAACTGTGTCAGTACGATTTGAACCACCACTAAATGAAAAGAAGGCAACAGTGGAGGAAGTCAAGGATTATAACCAGGTATATAAAGCCTGCTTGGCCTCCTCTCTCTTTTCTGCACAACTCATTCACACCCATCCTCTTTCTCTCCTATATCCCTTCAGACTTCCTCATCACAAACACCACTCCAACTTTCAACATGTCCGAGAAGATCACCAACGCTTTCCATTCTGCTGTCGGAGGTGCCAAGGAGGGTTTGGGCAAGACTGTTGGAAGCGACCAAATGGCCGCCGAAGGTAAGCGCCAAGCGCAAGCCAGTAATATGGTGACATGGGTTAGCATGTGCCATGACAATCATAGTTCTCACATATTAACATCACATGGTATTGAATTGATGAATGATAACCGCTAGGCGCCTCCCAGAAGGCCCAGGCCGATGCCCGTGCTAATGCTAACAGCGCTCAGCAGCAGGCCCATGGATTTGGCGATAACATCGCTGGAAGGACCAAGGCAACTGTGGGGGCAGCTACTGGTGACAGATCTACGGAGGCCCGTGGTCATGCCCAGCAGGCGTCTGGCAACATTCGCAACGCCGTCAATTAGATACAATCGAGGACGTTTGTGCACAGAAAAGACTAGACACATGTAAATAAGCCAAAAAAAAAAAAAAAAAAAAAAAAGTCTTTGCTGTGCTTCACGAGGAAGAGGATCTGGGTTTTAGTCTATGGTTGTGATTGACGGTAGTATGAGAGACGTGATGGAGACAAACACTGGTTTCCAAGAGCCGCAACGTGGCCCCAATCATGCCTTCGGCCTTCCAGCTTCATTTTCTTTGCCCATGCTCGCTCCTGTAATATGATTTCTCCGCACACTGAAAGGTCCATCATGCCGCGGACAATATCCATTAGGCAGGAAGCCTCCTATATATTATCTAGCCTTTCATTCTTGAAAAAAAAACTCCCCCCCCCTTTCTTTCAGACTCGGAATAGGGCACGCCTTGTTAGCGTTGAGCAAGGAGTTCGTTTGGAGGATCTTATCAAAACAGGACAAGACTCTTCTGCTTACACTGACAAAAGGGTCGCTAGCTTTTAGTCGGAAGCAGAATACTGTAGAGACATTTCAAGACATATCAATCAAAGCTTTGTTTCTCTAAGCACTTTTTTTTTGGATGCCATATTCGGACGCCACTCAATATGATGTTCAGCATAGAAATGACGAACAGCTGTAAGAACAAAGACCGCCATACGTAGATGCAACTGACGTTTAATTATTTTTTTTTATGATAACTACTAGGAGTCATGGGGACAGATTCCTATGCTAGAAACGCGAAGAAAAACGGTATCTCATAAACAGCTTATGCTGCCAGGGGGGTTTTTTTTCGCAATTCTCGTCAGCATGAGTGCTGAGTCGAAGAGCCCTACTCCCTACTTGGCTTGTTGTGTAAGAAGGTCACATCCTTTAGCTGATGTTCACTGTTATCGGAAACTTGCTCATACCTAGTCAGAGTGAGCTCCAGCTATTGGCAATAGACCTGAACTAAGCGCTTGTCCGCCTCTGTCCTAATCTCCTTCGCGTCTGTTACGGGTCGTTGTCTATGGGTTGATCCCATAAAGCTACTTTTAATACGGTTGTGCTTCTCAACACAAAAGTGATTCCACGCTCTCACTACCAGTCCACAGTATTTCCCATAGAGCAATCATGCTTGACACAATTAACAACTATGCGCTTCCTTGGAATCGATCCACGGACGTTCAGTCCATCAAACACGCCATAAGTACCACGTGATCTGTTAAAAGAAATATAATCCTCTTAGATATCAGATTTTAACATGAAAAGGCGATATGGCCGAGTTGGTTAAGGCGCCAGAATCAGGATCTGGTTCGAAAGAGCGTGGGTTCAAATCCCACTGTCGTCACTATCTTTTTACTCCTCCCATTATGGGAAGGCTTATTTTTTGGGACGTGGGCACCATTGCTCGTTTTTTTTCTTTTTTCTTTTTTATCTTGTAAGGACGGGGACGGATACGGAGAGCTGGTTGATATGAGGCCTCTTTCGAAACAGGTAGACATGTAGATCATGGCTAGATGCGTTGCGGCAGGATTATATATGCATTGTGCCACATTTTTGGCGTTTCCTTGACGCTGAGAAACTGGGTTGACGAGTCGTGCTTCGCGCGTTCCTTGTTCGGTGCCGCGCAGATACTACTGTAACAGCTACAGTAGCAGCCATACAAAGATTGACACACAGAGCGAACACACACAAGAACGCGTTGGCGAGTGCTCTCAGCAAAGCTGTCGAAATTGCAACGGCGAGATGCACGCGTTCGTTCGGATATTGCATTCAAATTGTCTGCATAGGAGGTTGCGGGCTGTGTGGTTCGCTGTTGGAACATGAAGCTCGATAGGATAAGCATTGGCTCTGCATTGACAGATAGAGGAGGCAATGGAGGAAGAAGGGAGCAATGGACTACAGCAGCAACCGTTGTCTGTCGCTCGCTGGTCAAACAGGCGTGAAGAATGCCAGCAGCGCTTGTCTGGGAGTGAGTCAGTGCAGCTGCTGTGTCGCACTTGGGGGGAGAAACCGCCGTGTCTTGTCTAGACACGACGGATGCCATGGCCCACTGAGCTCCATGCTTCATCCCCATTGCTTTTCACCCCCTTTTCCCCATTTGACTGGCAGCTCCATCTTGCTATCTTGCTTCCCCCTCTTGTCCCCCTCTCTCTTCCCCACCGTTAGGAACGCGTGGGATCTCGATCGACAAGTGCATTGTCACTGTTGCATTGGAAAAGTGTGCTCGTCACTGGGTTCTATTTCTTGCTCTCTTTTGCCTCCTTGTTCGTCTTCCCTCTTCTCCATCCATCTTTTCTATCCTACATTCCTTCTGCTGTACATCATACCCAAGCCATGGATACATCCTTACAACTGGACATTCAAGGTCAACCACAGCAGCAGCAGCAGCAGCAGCAGGCCGCGCAGCAACAACATACCCCGCGTTTTCGACATGTCTCTGCACCAATGCACCAACCCCAGAATTTGTCCAGCTTCCAAGAAGGCATGCGGCAGGATTCAGTTGTGGTCAATGCAGAGCCGGACCTACAGCCGCCTCCACCTGCCGCTGCTAGCGGAGTAGAAGTGGTCATAGATGGGATATCAGTACCAGGAGTACTCAACAATGAATACCACTATGGACTGGGTGTCGCATCCGACCCGCTTCGCCATCAGCACCAGCGCCTTGGAAAAGACGCTGACCAGAGCACAGGCCACGTCGGCATCACGCTGGACGACCCCCCAACCCTTGACCACGCACACCATGCTTACAGAGTTGGCCATGCGCAGACGGGAGGGCTTGTTCCAACGAGTTATGCCCAGAACCATACTCATGGTTACAATCATAACCTTACATTCGACCGTGGACATTCCCCAACTGGATCCCCGTCAGCAGGCTACCATGCCACGCAGCTGCAGCCAGAGCCTCCAACAACAACAGGTCATTCTGCCTCAACCTCCTCGTCCTCGTCCTCGTCGTCGTCGTCGAGGAATTCGCACTACGCGGGTATGTTCCAGCAAGGATATTCGCAGCACTACCATGGTCAGTTGCCAGGCGCTACCTTATCCCGACACCTGTCCATCCAGTTATCACCCAATTCCACTCTGCTGCCTCCTCCGCCACCAGTGTTGCACTCTGCATCTCAAACGACGCACGCGTCGTATCCCGTACAGGATGGATCCAGGAAAGACTCGTCCCCACTACAGGGACGAGAGTACACGATACCTCCTTCATCGCAGCACACTCTCCAACAAATATTTCAACATCCGCACCAACAAACACATCAACAGCAGCAGACGCTTCAGCGGCAGCCGCAGAGTCCCTCGCAAGGTGTCGCTGTGCCTCCTCCTCCCATCCAGTACATCCGGTCACCCCTGCGGTCGCCTAAAATGCCTCAACTGTCTTCGCAGGCCATGGCACATGCACAAGCGCAATCTCAGATGCAGGCCCAGATGCAGTCTCAGTACCGTCACCAAGCGTCCCATCGTCATCACGTCTCATCCACCACCCAGAACCCGCAGCAGTTCCCGCCAAGGACCCACCGGCGTAGTATTCAGCCATTGACGCTCGATCAACAACAGCCTAAAGGTGGATCGTTCCGTTTTGTCAGAAATCAGGCCGATCTGTGGCCTCAGAAGGGATCGCAGAAATATCGCTCCATTGACGCATATGGACACAGTATCAGTGTAAGCACAAGGATGTATAACCTACATATGGCGTCCAGTACCGAGTCTACGGCTCGGATACGAATGCGGATGCTGACATAGAGACGCATTGGTCAAATTAATTCATTTGCTAGCCATTGCGCGCACTTACGGAGCTCCTGACAAAGACGTACTCGCATTGCAACAGAGATTTCAAGTATGAGCCATCGTACAATCCTCGCAGAGTGCTCACCAAACCGTCCAAGCCCATGCATAACGAGGGTTACGACAATGAGGACTATGACTACATTTTGTACGTCAGCGACATCCTGGGCAGCGAGGAGCGGCAGAGGTAAGAATGGGCCAGAATATCCGAGGGATTAGTTACGCATGTTGTCACTTAAAGATTGTTGCCAGGCTCTAACAAAGTCGCTCGCCTTTCTTAATACAGGTATCTCATTCTCGACGTACTGGGCCAAGGGACCTTTGGGCAGGTGGTGAAGTGTCAAAACTTGAAGACCAACGCGATCGTGGCTGTTAAGGTGATCAAAAATAGGCCAGCGTACTTCAACCAGAGCATGATGGAAGTGACGGTTCTGGAGCTGCTTAATGAGCGCTACGATGTGGATGATCGGCATCACATCTTGCGGCTTCAGGACACCTTCATACACCGGCGGCATTTGTGTCTAGTGTTTGAGCTATTGTCCGTGAACCTGTATGAGTTGATCAAACAGAATCAGTTCCGGGGATTGAGCATGAGTTTGGTCCGCGTATTCACAGCGCAGCTGTTGGATGCGCTGTGTGTGTTGAATGAGGCTAGGATCATTCATTGTGACTTGAAGCCGGAGAACGTGCTACTGAAGAAGTAGGTTGATACGATTTTCCTTTCATCATCATGAAGCATTTACCCAGCGCGCTTTGCAGCTGTTTTCTGACGCCATACGTTCCTCATTATACTTCTGATTCAGCCTGGAGACACCTACCATCAAAGTCATCGACTTTGGATCTGCATGCCACGAACAGCAAACTGTGTACACCTACATTCAGTCCAGGTTTTATCGAAGCCCCGAGGTGTTGGTCGGGCTTCCGTAAGTATTCAAGATATCGAAGAAGCCTTTACAAAGCAATTGGACAAACTTACTGACCTCGGTTTGTTTTCCTTTGATAGATATTCGTCATCAATTGACATTTGGTCAGTGGGTTGTATAGCAGCAGAACTATTCCTTGGATTACCTCTCTTTCCTGGAAGCTCAGAGTATAACCAACTGTCACGAATCGTAGAAATGTTAGGGTAATATGACCTTGCAGTCATTCGACAGGAGCAAGAGATGCCTCTATTGTTTCGCCAGCTGACTGGTGCAGTCGATCATGCAACTCTTTTTTTTTGTCTGCAATAGAATGCTTCCGACTTATATGCTGGATATAGGCAAGACTGCGCATGAGTTCTTCGAGGTAGTGCGTCCGGACCATTTCGGACACAACTACAGCAGGCCAGGGCCTAGAAAGTACAGACTAAAGTCCATGGAGACGTATTCGAGGGAGCACAATGTTATGGAGCAACTCAGCAAGCGCTACTTTCAGGCCACAAGTCTCCCAGATATTATCAATAGCTACCCGATGCTCAAGAAGGGCATGACTCCCAAGGAGATCGAAAAAGGTACCACCCACTGAAGTACGCGCTGTTTGCAGTTGGCTGTTATTAGGACGACATTATGTCTGATGCGCTATTTAATCCCTGTGTAGAAACGATGAATCGTCAGTCATTCATCAACTTCTTACAGGGTCTTTTGAATCTAAACCCGATTGAGCGATGGTCGCCTCACCAAGCCAAGCTGCACCCCTTTATTACTGGAGAGTCCTTTACCGGCAACTTCATTCCCCCAACGATACCAAAGAAGCCAGCGACCGCCGAGAACTCTACACGCCTCGAGCCCACATTGCCAGGGAAGTCATCCAAGACTAGATCAGCGTCGCTCTCGAATTCGAGCTCCACCCCTGCACTAGTAGCGTCATCTCAGACTCTACAGCAACAAAAACGTACTAGTGTTGATGCTTCAGTGGATGCTGGCAAACAGGATGCTGTCGCCTCTCAAATACTGTCCTCTAAATCTGGCGCTGATCGATCTGGAGACCAATCACGCCCGTCATTATCTGTCCTTGGAGGCTCGATGGCGACTTCTAGCGAAGGCTCGATAGAATCGTCGCTAACTGACGCATCCTCTTTAACTGGATCGCCAGCAATTGCTGCCACTCACACTGCCGACGCTGGTGGATCATCGTTAGGTACTGCAGCAACAGCAAGTGCTAGAGCAGGGACGGGGGCAGGGGCAGGAATCACTTTTGCTCCTGAGACAGGTGCCCAGGGTCCGCATAGTGCTCAAACAGCAACTGCTGCACTGCCATCATCATCATCAATACATCACGGCCACAGACCGAGGGCCACTACGATGGGTACTGTAGAGGTGCCCAAGAACATGGCACAGTTGGCAGCGGCCATGACACCCCAGCAAGGCCAAACACTTGGGGGCATTAGTGGTTCATCTAGTCTCTCACATCGTGTCAGAACTAATGATGCGGCGGCGGCAGCAGTCATGTTTGAGCCGTCATCACCCTTTTCGATGGGCAGCCTCAGCATTAGTGGTGGATCGTATGGTCTCCGACAGATCCCAGAGCGATCGGAGCAGAGCTCACCTGCTTTGGAGGATTCCACGAGTTCCAGCAGTA